TCATCACCACCATCATCACCTTCATCACCACCATCATCACCATCATCACCTTCATCAATACCATCATCACCACCATTATCACCTTCATCACCACCATCATCACCATCATCACCACCATCATCACCTTCATCACCACCATCATCACCATTATCACCTTCATCAATACCATCATCACCACCATTATCACCTTCATCACCACCATCATCACCATCATCACCACCATCATCACCTTCATCACCACCATCATCACCATTATCACCTTCATCAATACCATCATCACCACCATTATCACCTTCATCACCACCATCATCACCATCATCACCACCATCATCACCTTCATCACCACCATCATCACCATCATCACCTTCATCAATACCATCATCACCACCATTATCACCTTCATCACCACCATCATCACCATCATCACCACCATCATCACCTTCATCACCACCATCATCACCGTCACATCATCCAGCCGCCACCTCCATCAACATCACCATCAACACCATCATCATCACTACCACCACCACCATCACCACGAATATCACTACCATGATTTAAATGCCACCATCATCCTCACTGCCCCTCATCACACCCCCTTGAGCAGGGCACTCCCACCCACAGCTTCTGTAGACTCTACTGCTCACCCTTCATAACTGCCTGGATCACTCAGTTCTCCAAGGACCTCGGTTCCCCAGGCCACCAAACCTCAAACAGGCCCCAGGCCAGGCTGTGATCCAAGGACAACGGGAGGGAACGTTTCAGATCAGCTGGGGCACATGGCTCAGCTCTAAGATGCCCAAGAGGCACTGAGGCTTCCGGCCGACAGCCAGGAGAGTGACCTTAGAGGTGGGTCTTCCAGCCACAGTCCTGCCTTCAGTGACCGAAGCCCCAGCTGGGAGCTTGGCTATAACCTCGGAATACACTCAGAGCCAGAACCCCCCAGCTAAACCCCTCCTAAATCCAGACGCCCCCAGAAGCCTGTTCGATGCTTCAGGCCGCCAGGGTCTGGGGTACTTTGTTACACAGCGGCAGATGATCACGGCACATGGCCTGGATAAAACGTGGCAAGGCTGCCTCCTCTTCACATCTGCTCCAGCTGGCGTCTGCCTGTGTCTGCAGAGGTGCGGCTGCTGCATCGCCCCATGCAGTGTCACCACAACCCTGAGCACCCACACACTGCCCGCCTGGCCCAGGAGCCCCACCAGTGTAGGGTCAGGGTCTGTTCAAGCAGGAGAAGTCCCAGGACCTGGCACAGAGCCAGCAGGCAGGAAGTCAGTGAATAAACCACCCTTGACCTGTAAGGGCGGGCAGGCGGGCAGGGGGCAGGCGCAGGGGGTTTCCCACATGTAAAATGTCATGAAGCATTTTAAGCTGTTAAGGTGACCAGCTGACCAGCAAGCCCTAACAGCAATTACCAACAAAGACAACATCCTTTTCATTCATTCAGCCTATTTTATTGAGCACCTACTATACGTAAGGCCCTCTAGCCAGACAGGAATGCAGTGAACAAAATTCTGGCCACGCTTCTGCCTCCAGAAACTCAGTGCTGGGGGGAGGAAGGTGTGCAGAGAAGTCATCACACCCCATCAACTCCAGGGCCTGAGTCCACAATCGCTTATCTGCAATACTGAAACCAAAAAAACTCTGAAATTTGAAAGTGCTTTGGTGGAAAAACCTGAATGTGGACAAGAAGTTCTTTATTGCCTTTTCCATCCCACTTAGAATGAACCTTCTACATTTTGCCATAAAACAGATACAGGTGCCTCCCGAGACCCCGCTCGGGTGGGATGTCAGATATGGTGCTCACACCATTACTGATCTCTGTTCTGAGGAGGCCTGCATGCTGAGGCCCCCAGGGTTTCAGATGCAAGACCACTGGCCTGAGTTGAGAAGGGTCAACCAGTGCCCAGAGGGGACTGACGGGCCGGAGATGAGGGGAGGGCCCAGAGCCGGGACTTACCGGAAGGAGCCATCCAGGTTGGCGCGGTGGATGAAGCTGAGCTTGGCGTCGGCCCAGTACAGCTTCTGCTCCTCCAGGTCGATGGTCAGCCCGTTGGGCCAGTAAATGTCCGAGTCCACGATGATCTTCCGGGTGCTGCCATCCATCCCTGCCCGCTCGATCCGAGGCGTCTCTCCCCAGTCTGTCCAGTACATATACCTACGAGGATAGAAAGCTTGCTTTTGCTTGGTTTTTCTTTCCTGTCTACATGAATGCAAGCATATGAAACAGAGACGATGAATCTGCCCGGAAATCTCACCCACTGTTTAGGCCATGGGATATTATTACTTCTGATTTACTTTCAAGCAATTAGTGCTACATATGTTTTTTTTTTTTGTCCAGGAAGCTTATGGGTTCTTAGTTCCCCAACCAGGGATTGAACCCACACCTTTGGCAATGAAAGTGTGGAATCCCCACTAACATATTATTTATTAATCAAAGCTGGATAATGAAATATCCTTGTTTCCACTTGTTCTCATTGAGCAGTATCTTCTGAGCACTCTCTTCTTCTTACTAAAAGGAATCTTTCTTGTTCTTTCAAGGGGAATTTTGTTGTTGTTTGGTCGCTAAGTCACATCTAACTCTTTTGCAAGCCTGTGGACTATAAACAAGATTGCTGGGAGAAATATTAACTTCAGAAATACAGATGACACCACACTTATAGCAGAAAGCAAAGAAGAACTAAAGAGCCTCTTGATGAAAGTGAAAGAGGAGAGTGAAAGAGTTGGCTTAAAACTCAACATTCAGAAAACTAAGATCAAGGCATCCNAAATCAGTCCTGAATATTCATTGGAAGGACTGATGTTGAAGCTGAAACTCCAATACTCTGGCCACCTGATGTGAAGAACTGACTCATTGGAAAAGATCCTGATGCTGGGAAAGACTGAAGGCGGAAGGAGAAGAGGATGACAGATGATGATATGGTTGGATGGCATTGCTTACTCAATGGACATGAGTTTGAGTTGATGGACAGGGAAGCCTGGTGTGCTGCAGTCCATGAGTGACTTAACTGACTGACTGGACTATAACCCACCAGGCTCCATAAGTTATTTAAGTGATTCCACACTGAACGTTTGCAGTTGTTTCTGATTTCTTGCTCCTACGAAAATGCCGTAAATGAACAATGTATAATGGAATGTTACTGTGCACTGAAAATAAATGAGCTATTGAGCTGTGAAAAGACACGGAGCAACACGAGATGCATATTAGTTAAGTGAAAGAGGCGTGAAATGTCTGCATGCTCTGGTTCCCGCAAGGACGCTCTGTTGAAGACAAAACTATGGAGACAGTAAAGAGATCAGGGGCTGCTCTGAGCTTGGGAGGGACAAATGAGTGGAACGCAGAGGATCTGTAGGGCAGTGAAATGATTCTACAGGATAATACGGGGCTTTCCCTGGTAGCTCAGTCAATAAAGAATCTACCTGCAGTGCAGGAGACCCGAGTTCAATCCCTGGGTTGGGAAGATCTCCTGGAGAAGGGAATGGCAACCCACTCCAGTCTTCCTGCCTGGGAAATCCTATGGACAGAGGAGCCTGGCGGGCTACAGTTCATGGGGTCGCAAGAGTTCGACAGGAAATTAGCGAAGGACTAAACCACCCACCACCGCAGGATAACACAATGGTGGACTGCTGCTGCTGCTAAGTCGCTCAGTCGTGTCCGACTCGCAGCGACCCCATGGATGCAGCCCACCAGGCTCCTCCGCCCACGGGATTTTCTAGGCAAGAGTACTGGAGTGGGGTGCCATTGCCTTCTCCGACAATGGTGGACATGTAACATTAAATCTCTGTCAAAAGCCATTAAATGTTCATGGATATGTGGGACCTCTCTTTATACCCCCCCCATTTTTTCTGTGAACCTAAAACTGCTTAAAAAAAAAATAAAGTCTGTTGGAACTTTCTAGGTGATCCAGTGGTTAAGATTCTGCACTTCCATCACAGGGGGCTAAGATCCCACATGCCTGTTTTATTTTGGTGTGGCCAAAATAAACAAATTATGAACATCTCAGTTATTCCAAGGTGGGCTATGGGTGATTCTGCTCTGCTTAACCATGATCTCAGGGTCTCCAGCCAGAATCTATCGCCTCTGTAGATGCTTCCTTATTTGATGTCCCACCATGAGAGCGGAGATAATACGCATGCATCTCGGGTGACGGGTTCAAACTCCATCAGGGCCCAGCTGTTCTAGCGGGATGCCCACTCCATGCGGCCCTTCAGTGGAGAGCAGAGGGGACCCACCAGCCTGGAGGGCACGCATCTCCTGGGTTCTCGGTCCCTTCAGCTGTGGGTCAGTCAGAGGACACAAAGGGGCAGACCTGTTCTCTGTCCATCAGCGTCTCTCCACAGTGGAGGGGGCACAGTGGAGGGGGCACAGTGGAGGGGGCACAGTGGAGGGGCACAGTGGAGTGGGCACAGTGGAGGGGCACAGTGGGGGGGGAACAGTGGAGGGGGAACAGTGGAGGGGGCGCAGTGGAGGGGGAACAGGGCCTGGATTCCCCTCGAAGGGCCCTCTTCCCCATGAGACTCCCCAGCTGCTGTGGTTGCCCCCACACCCCCTTTGGGGGCAGCACAGAAGAGTCTTGGGCAATCAGCAAACCCCACTATCCTCGGCCTTAGAGGCTGCTTTAGAAACAAATGATTGGTTTACACTGGGCAAACGGGCGTCAGTCTGGAAGGGGTGGCTCCGAAGAGCCACCTGTCCTGTTGTGGGGGGGGGACGGGCAGTCAGGGAGGAAGCTCAAGCCCGGACAGGGACCGGAGAGGCTGTGGGACACCGGGAATGACAACAGGTGACTTCACGGGCATCCTAGTTCCCTGGACCATGGGCTTCCCTTTCAGCTGCTTCTATTACCAATCAAGCTCCTCCCCCGCCCCCTGGCTCTCACCTCCACAACTTCAGAGGTAAAACCTCACCACAAACCCTGTGCTGCCGATCACCAGGGACCAGCGAAGACGGCAGGAGCTTTGGGGAGACCAGGCCCAGCTTTGCCCTCTGGGGGTCTCTGTCCAGCGGGAGAGAGAAAACGACATGCACACGGCTGCCATTCCCCCAAGACGGAGCTCTGAGGACCACCCCCATCTGTGGGGCCAAGTGAGGGGGTCATGTCGGAGCTGGTGCTGCTGGATTGTGACAGATGATGAGAATGAGCTTGCGGGGGCTTCACGTGCAGCGAGGGGCCAGCCATACCCCGCGGTCACAAGCTCCCTTGTTCTCCAGCCCCGTGGGGACAGAGAACTCAGAACACCTCTCCAAAAAGCCTCTTATGCACACTTCTTTGCATCTAGCAAGAAGTGACGCAGTTGTCATTCAGTCCCTAAGTCGTGTCCGACTGTCTGCGATCCCATGGACTGCAGCACGCCAGGCTTCCCAGTCCTTCACCTTCCTCCTGAGTTTGCTCAAACTCATGTCCACTGAGTCAGTGACGCCATCCAATCATCTCATCCTCTGTCACCCCTTCACCTCCTGCCCTCAGTCTTTCCCAGCATCAGGGCAGGGTCGTTTCCAAGAGTCGCCTCTTCATATCAGGTGGTCAAAGTATCAGAGCTTCAGCTTCAGCATCAATCCTTCCAATGAATATTCAGGGTTGATTTCCTTTAGGACGGACTGGTTTGATCTCCTTGTAGTCCAAAGGGACTCTCAAGAGTCTTCTCCAGCACCACAACTCAAATGCAGGGAGAGCAGGAATTACTATTCCAGCGGGACAAGGGAGAAAACCGAGGCTCTAAAAGGGTGCTGTGTGCTGGTCACAGGCTCCAGGAGGAGTGGTTTTCTCGTTGGGGCCAAGGCCTGTCCACCTTGGGACACATGGCCCTATGCCCGCCTGGGGCGGTAGTGAACCTCTCCTGGCCCCTGAGACTCACAGGTGCCCTCGGCCAGCTGCAAAGGCTCCCGCAGGCCTGGTGCAGGCGACTTTCCTTCCCTGCATGTTTCCCACCCCCAGCAGCCTGGAACGAGCCCAGCCTCCGGCCGCCCAGCTGCCCAGAAGGTATCAGGAGAATAAATCTCAGAGCCCTCCACTCGTGCCCTCCCCAAAGGCTCCTCGGAGGCCAGCGGGAAAGGCCGGAAAAAGTGCAGGCTCAGGACCTCCGCGAGGAGCATAATTCAAATTCCTTCCCCCGGGTTTCATAACAGAGGCCGGCTGGTTTCCTTAAATGGGGAACTCGCGGGCCGCCCCGCTCCCAGAGCCCGGCTGGTGCGGACGTGCTCGTGCCGGGCCTGGACGCTGCCAGAGGCCCCGCCAAGTTCCACGGAGGAGCAGTGACTTCCGAGGCCGAGCACTGCAGCTGGGCTCAGCGCAGAGGGCCGCGGCTGGTGCGGTTGTGGTCGGGTCTTATTTTAGGGAAGGGCCATTTTGCATTTTAAAGAGGGGGTTGGGTTTCAGCCTGGCTTCAGCCGGAGACCCAGGAGCCACCGCAGCCCCTGGTGGGCTGGTACAGGCGTGGGCCCCACCGCCCGCCCCCGCGCAGGGCCAACGTCCCCCCAGCCCCAGGGCCTCAGGGCCAGAGAGGCCTGCTCTGCCCCCCACGTGGGCACCTGATGCTGGTGGTGGAGGTGCCTGGCCTGGGCACTGCACTGTGCCACTGCTGAAACGGCCCAAGTAAAAGGGTGCTGTGTGCTGGTCACAGGCTCCAGGAGGAGTGGTTTTCTCGTTGGGGCCAAGGCCTGTCCACCTTGGGACACATGGCCCTATGCCCGCCTGGGGCGGTAGTGAACCTCTCCTGGCCCCTGAGGCTCACAGGTGCCCTCGGCCAGCTGCAAAGGCTCCCGCAGGCCTGGTGCAGGCGACTTTCCCTCCCTGCATGTTTCCCACCCCCAGCAGCCTGGAACGAGCCCAGCCTCCGGCCGCCCAGCTGCCCAGAAGGTATCAGGAGAATAAATCTCAGAGCCCTCCACTCGTGCCCTCCCCAAAGGCTCCTCGGAGGCCAGCGGGAAAGGCCGGAAAAAGTGCAGGCTCAGGACCTCCGCGAGGAGCATAATTCAAATTCCTTCCCCCGGGTTTCATAACAGAGGCCGGCTGGTTTCCTTAAATGGGGAACTCGCGGGCCGCCCCGCTCCCAGAGCCCGGCTGGTGCGGACGTGCTCGTGCCGGGCCTGGACGCTGCCAGAGGCCCCGCCAAGTTCCACGGAGGAGCAGTGACTTCCGAGGCCGAGCACTGCAGCTGGGCTCAGCGCAGAGGGCCGCGGCTGGTGCGGTTGTGGTCGGGTCTTATTTTAGGGAAGGGCCATTTTGCATTTTAAAGAGGGGGTTGGGTTTCAGCCTGGCTTCAGCCGGAGACCCAGGAGCCACCGCAGCCCCTGGTGGGCTGGTACAGGCGTGGGCCCCACCGCCCGCCCCCGCGCAGGGCCAACGTCCCCCCAGCCCCAGGGCCTCAGGGCCAGAGAGGCCTGCTCTGCCCCCCACGTGGGCACCTGATGCTGGTGGTGGAGGTGCCTGGCCTGGGCACTGCACTGTGCCACTGCTGAAACGGCCCAAGTCCAGTCCCTGGGGTCTGCGGGCCCTTCTGCCTGTGGGGTTCTTGGTCACGTGCAGCCTGGGGTGGACATTAGGACTGAGGACCCTCCTAATGACATCTGGGGCAGTATCCCTTCATCAGAGGAGGGACCCCAGTTGTGAGGCAGAAAGAGGACATCACAAGAGGACACAGGGAGATGGGAGAGCCTCCCACGGGGCTGGGGGAGGTGGTGAGGCCCCCTGCAGCCTCACACCTGTGGCCGGGGTGGAGAAAGAAACCCACTGTCTCAGGACTCAGCTCAAGCTCACACCAAAGGCCACCACCAGGCCAGTGTTTAGCAAGGTTGGGGTGCTGCCTATGGTTCCTCTGCACCAGCCTAGAGTCCTCCCCTGCTGGGCAGTGGTGCTTAAGAAGATAAAGCAGGCACTGTTGACCTTAACCACACCCCAGCCAGCCAGCCTAGGACCACAGTGCAGAGTTCTCGCCCTCATTCCAGCTGGTAAGAGTGACACTTGGCAGCATCATTCTCACTCCATCACACATCAGACACATCACCGGGGAAGGAGGAGCTTAGGGGGAGAGGCTGGGGCCTCGGAAATCCTGCCCAAGGTTCAACAACAAAGTCAACTCTGCCCCCAGGGGCAGGGGTGTGATCCCAGCAGGATCTGAGGAGAGAATTCAAAGGCAAGATCAGAAAAGATTTCAAGACAAGCCAGAGCCAGAGATGGACCAACTCCTGTGAATGCTACAGGCAATGCCAGTGTGGGTGTGAGAATGAAGACTGTTCCCCACTGAGCACCAAGCACTTCTCAAACAAGTACCAAGCACCTCCTAACCAAGCACAAATACCTCTCAACTGAGTACCAAGCACATCCTGACTGAGCATCAAGCATATCCAAAACAAGCACCCAGTACCTCCTAACTAAGCACCAAGCACCTCCCAACTAAGCACCAAGCACCTCCCAATTGAGCACCTTCCAACCACACCAGACACCTCTCAACTGAGCACCTTTCAAACAAGCACCAAACACCTCCCAACCAAGCAACAGCACCTCCCAATCAAGCACCAAGCACCTCCCAACCAAGATGGCAAAAGGCCGCAAGGAAGAGAAAAAAGAAGTCTCTGCACAGATATGAAGACTACATTTCAGGCAGGCGGGAGGGGCATTTTTAACATAACAACAGTGAGCATTTATTGATGCTACAACCGTTCTTGGTGTTCATGACATGGGGCAGGGTCACAGCCCTGTAGAGACGGGGATGCTGAGGCACAGGGCAGCCCTGCACCGTCCTCCCTTCTTGTCTAAATCCAGACGGTTCCAGCTTCAAAACAGACCCTCCACTACTCAAGCCCACTACCTCTAAGCCATTCACCCCCCACCCACTAGCCCAGTCCTATCCACCTTCTCTTGCCAGGAGCACAGTATCAGCTGCTAATGGAGTTCCCAGCTCCCACCCTAAAGTTTCCCCTCAATCCAAGAGCCAGAGAGAGCCCCTTAAGCATGAGTCAGACCAGCGACCCCTCCCCTCAAAGCCCATCCTGCCCCCCCACACACCCACCCTTGCAACAGGTCCAGGGCCCTCCTACTAGCTGTGCCCTCTGCCCAGAAACCCTTCCCCCAGGTGTCTCCTGCCCTCATCTCTTCATGTCTCTGCTCAAATGCTACCAAGAGAGGTCCCGGGATCCTGACCACAGCGGGAAGGCCCCGCCCCCGCTCCCTCTGCCCGCGCCCTGCCTCCCCCTCCCCTGTGGCACACCCCCCTCTCGGCACCCCCCAGCGCACTGTGACGTCCTCAGGGCTGCTCCCCTCAGCCTCTCCCGCTGCTGACGGATGCCCCCTCTTAGCCAGTGGGACTCAGCCACCCCAGCCACCACGACCCAGAAGACAGTGACCCTCGGTGACCCCTGCGGCCACACTGCGGGATGGGAGAGGCCTGAGGCAGGGACCGTTTCCCAGGCAACGCAGAGAGCCTCCTGGAAGATCAGCCTGCCCCCCAGCCCCTCCCGGCAGCTGGAGTGGCTCAGCCTTCCTCCGGGGGTGAGGGGGCCTAAAGATAAGTCACCGCCTGGCATGCCCCACCCGGGATGCTGGGGCGGCCGCGGCTGGAGCCTTTCTTGGGGGGTGAGGGGGCCTAAAGATAAGTCACCGCCTGGCATGCCCCACCCGGGATGCTGGGGCGGCCCTCGGGACTGAGCACCAGGCCTGCCTGGCCTGACCTCGGCGAGCCAGCTACCAAGGGCAATAAATCTCACACACCCACCCCCATTGCGTGTACACACTGACACAGACACACGTGTGTCACAGGTGCACTCAGAGGTGCACTCAAATAGGCACAAACACACACGCTCACACCCTCCAGGCCCACACTCAGTGGCTCAGACACACGTTCCGGCAACGCATGCACACACACACACACACTCTCCGCTTTCACACAACCCAGCAGCTCCAGAGGCACCACTCTTTCCTGGTATCAAGAGGTAGTCGAGGGCACTTTCTCAGTCAACACGCCGAGAAGCCCCCGGAAGGAATTTACTCGGCCACTCAAGGGCGCCCCCTCACCTAGCGTGCTCCCCGAGTGCTGCTCAGGCACCCGCCCTGGCAGCACAGGCCTCCGCCCTCAGCCTTCATTCCACCCATCCCAGGCGGGCTGAGAGGTCCCTCCAACCCAGGCTGCAGGCATGGCAGCCAGCACCACCCCCAGGGCAGCGGAGGGCATCAGGATCAGGAACCAGGGTCCTACTGCGTTTCTGTTCAAAAGACAGCCATTTCTGACGAGCGCACAGGAGAGGAGCCGGCGGACCCAGCAGTGGGCTGGGCGTGGCCAGTGGGCGGGCACCAGGCTTGACACCGCCCAGCTAAGGGTGTGTCCTTCCCAGGCGCTGGGAGGAGGGGACAGAGTGCCAAGGGTGACTAAGTCAAGAGCTCCCACTAGGAAAGCCTGCCACTAGCAAGGCCTGGGGGTCAGCTTGCCATCTCCCCTCCATCCCTCCAGCCCAGCCTTCAACTCTGCGTAAGTTCTTCGGTTTCCCGCCACTCACAACACCCCACCTGGAACTGGGGCTGGGCCCTGAGCCTCCGGGGGTCTCATGAGCTCAGCCAGACCACGAAGCAGGCAGGAGCAGAGGGCTTCCAGAAGACACCAGAGCAACAATTTTGCAAGTTCCACATCTGGATGGGGAGTTTCACTTTTTCTACCGTGTTCAGCTGATGCAGTCATAAAGAAGGTGAAAGGTGTGGGTTCTACCTGGCAGAGTGCCCGAACCCTCCTCAGACACTCACACACACACCGAGACGTTTAACAATTCAGATCCACGGCCAAGCACATCGGTTGCAGTGAGTTTAGAAAAGAAACACATTCCAGGGTGTTTCAACAAATTCTGCAGGGTGGACTCATTTTAAGACTGCGGGTTTCCTCTGAAAAAGGTACTTGGTCTCAAGTAAATTCAAGAGAAAAATCACGGCCCCACCCACTCCACCATCAGGAAAAGAAACTGATGCTGGGAAAGACTGAGGGCAGGAGGAGAAGGGGACGACAGAGGATGAGATGGTTGGATGGCATCACCGACTCAATGGACGTGAGTTTGAGTAAACTCCAGGAATTGGTGATGGACAGGGAGGCCTGGGGTGCTGCAGTCCATGGGGTTGCAAAGAGCCAGACATGACTGAGCAACTGAACAACCACCACCACCCCCCCATCCCCCAGGGAGGTGAGGCGCTGGGTTTACCCGTGCGCGGGGTCCAAGGCGATGGCCCGCGGCTGGTCAAGGTCCTGCCAGAATAGGACCTTCCGGGACGTCCCATTGAGGTTGGCCACCTCGATGCGGTTGGTCTCCGAGTCCGTCCAGTACAGCTTCTTGCCGACCCAGTCGCAGGCCAGACCGTCGGGCGACACCAGGCCGGAGATGACCACGTTCTGCACAGCGGCGCCCGTCTGGTTCAGGTAGGTCTGCTTGATGGCCTCCTCACTCACATCTGTCCAATACACGGCTCCCTTGGAGAACTGGAAATCCACGGCGGCCGCGTCCTCCAGGCCGCTGACCACGATGGTGGACTCCACCTTGACTCCGCCGGCGTCCACCAGCCGCACATCCCGGCGGTTGGCGAACAGGAGGAGCGGTGAGGCTGTGGGACAGAAGCAAACTGTGAGGACCCTGGCTGAGCTGCAGGCCGCACAGCCTGGGAGGCAGGGCTATGTGCCCGGACCACCCCGGGGCCCCCACCCGGCCTATGCCCAAGGCTCCCGGCTCCTGCCTTCCATCCCCGGGCACTGCCGGGAAGCCGCCTGGGTGGGCGCAGCACCCGTTCAGAGGCTCTTTCAGGGCAGCTATAGTTACTGGGATCACCGAGGGCTACCATGTGTCCCCACTACCCCCACCAGGCCCCAGCAGCCCTTCCTGCCACGCCTATCACCTTGCCCACAGATGCCACCACAAGGCCACACTGCCAGGGCGCACACCGGCTCACATCCTGGCCCCCCACCCCTGCAGGACAGAGGCCACGTGGAGGGCTCCAGGTCAGGACCGCCCATGGGGCTTCACCACTCCCACCATCACCATCGCCACGTTACATCACACGGCAACAATCAAACAATGGGATGTTATCACTGCATCTGAGCTGGGCGTCCTGACATCCTGCAAGGAGGAGATGGTCCACGGAGAACATCTGTCCCGAATCTCACCCCTCCCTGCCCCGAGCAGGTCCGAACAGATAATAAAGAGCGTGGGTTGTCATGGGCCTACAGCTCTCTGCCACACGCGGGGCTGGGCAGGCTCTTCTCTGATTGCCCTGGGCCCTCGGTACAGAGGCCTGGGTTGTGGGTGACAGCTGGCCCACTTTACAGAAGGGGAAGTTAAGGCTTCGAGAGGAACAAAGTTCAATAGCACACCAGAGATGCCACACTCTGGAACACTCATCGTATACTGCTTGCGAGCATATATTTAGTTTACAAAAATGCATTCCTTTCCTGTGTATAGGTACCTCAATAAAAAGGTCTTTTTAATTAAAAACGGAAATTTCCGTTTTCCCAGCTACTATAGCATGCTAAGGGTTCCGGTGGACCCTGCACTCCAGGAGGGCTCACCTGCCCATCTGAAGAACGCCCCTGCCCTGCCCAGCCCCAGCACAGGCAGCTGCTCTATAAATGTGTTTCACCCTCCATCCCCCTACCCCCTAGCATCCCAGCTTCAAGACGGTGAGTCGCTTCTGCACTCTGAGAGGGAAGAAGGAAAAGGATGGGCGGCCCAGGAGGGTCCAGAACCCCACCATCAGCCGGAGGCCCGGGGAGTGGAGGCAGGGACACCCACCACTGGAGGCCTGGCCCGCAGTCAGTTGCCGTCCAAGGGTCAGACACCGGCCAGTCAGAGGACAGAGGGTGAGGGGATGACACCCTGGATCCGAGAGGGTCCAGACCTTCAGAGGAGGAAGAATCGTGAAGGCCAGAAGTAGAAGGGGCCCTTCGAAGTTAGATCTGGAGGCATATGGGGGGAGGCAGCAAAGCCAACGCCAACCAACCCCTAACAGTATACTCAGGGCAACAGGACCCCCAGGGCACCTGCCCGTTCATTGTCACCAGGGTCGTTCCGGCCACTAGAGCACAGATAATCGGTAATCCTACCGTGCCGGCATTGTTCGATGTGCCCAGGTTCCTGAGATTCCTCGCAGCAAGGTATCCCGGCTCATCTCTCGTCCGGTCCTACCTTGGCCGGGTGGTTCCTAACCTCCTGGGGGTCACAAAGCTCCCAGATAAGCTGATCCTCTCCCCAGGGACAGACACACACACAGGTACCCACACCAAGGCCTATGACCTCCCTGCCAACAGAGTGTACCCAGCCCCGGACTGAGGATGCAGATTCCCCTTTCTTCTCTAAATTAGCATCTCTGAGGACTTCCCTGGTGATCCACTGGCTAAGATTCCACACTTCCAATGTTTGGGTTTGACCCCTGATCAGGGAACTAGATCCTACATGCCACAACTAGAGATTTTGCATGCCACAACTAAGACGCAGCACAGCCAAACAAATAAACACTAAAAATGCATGCTTGCAGTCATGTCTGACTCTTTGTGACCCCATGGAGTGTAGCCCACCAGGCTCCTCTGACCATGGGATTCCCCAGGCAAGATTACTGGAGTGGATTGCCATGCCCTCCTCCAGGGGATCTTCCCGACCCAGGAATCAATCCTGCGTCTCATGTCTCCTGCATTGGCAGGTGGGTTCTTTACCACTAGAACCACCTGGGAAGCTCTAAGTACTAAAAATAAATAGACAAATTAGCATCGCCGGGCGACAATGTGAGGGACTATCTTGGGAAGAGGTAAGCTCCCCGATGCCACAGGTATTTAAGTGGACGTTGGTGACCGCAGGTGAGGGACGAAACTCACCCGACATCCGCATCAAGAGATGGACGGCCCACACACAGGGAGTCTCAGACAGGAAATTTTCATGGTTGGAGACCACCACACACTCAATTCCTAAGTCTGCTTCCCTTGTGGCTCAGCTGGTAAAGAATCCACCTGCAGTGCGGGAGACCTGGGTTCGATCCCTGGGTTGGGAAGATCCCCTGGAAAAGGGAAAGGCTACCCACTCCAGATTCTGGCCTGGAGAATTCCACGGACTCCATAGTAGATGGGGTCGCAAAGAGCTGGAAACGACTGGGCAACTTTCACTCACTTATTCTCCGGGTCACCTGGGGAACTCACAGCGACAGGGGTCTCTGTGAGGGGGCCGCCTGCCCGCCCAGGGCCCCTCCTAGGGCCTGGGAAGCCCTGGCTGATGCGGCCCCAAGCCTAGCAGGGGCTCCAGCTCCTCACGGAGATGTGGCTTCCGGCAGGGGGGCCCCCCTGCCCCACGGGAGGGAGAGGCTGAGGACTGGGCAGGATCAGAGCAGCCAGTGAGGGGCTGGGGTGTGGACAGGCAGTCCTGGGAAGGGATGCGCTGGGCTGAGACCAGAACCGAGACAGCCAGCAGGCTGGTGGCAGAGTGTCATAAAGCCCATGCCAGCCTGTCTGGGACATGCAACTGAGCCAAGAACCCAGCCTCGTGCCTTGTCTTATGTGGGGGGCAAGACAACCAGCACGTGGGTGAGGTGATGTCAGTTGTGGTTTGGAGAAACAGGGCCGAGTGAAGGGTCTGGAGTGGGCGCTGCTATTTCAGGTAAGATGGTCAGGGTGGCCTCATTGAGAAAGTGACCCCTGGACAAAGACTTGAAGGGGGAGAGAGAAGGACAGAGGGAAGGTATCCCGGCAGCGGGAATGGCTGGTGCAAAGGCCCTGGGGTGAGGCCTGGGGGAGGCGGCAGACACTGGTCCTACGTGTTCCTGCCCAGATGATGTGCCCGCAGGCCCAGGACACGGTAGGTCCGAGTCCCAGCTGCACATGCCCAGGTGAGGGCTGCGGCTCTCAGAAGGGCGCCCTGACCTGCCCCAGGCCACTCCGGGATGCTCTCTTACCAAGTGGCCCAAGCTTCTGGAGCAGCGAGAGGAAACAAGGAGTGTGAGGAGGGAGAGGAGGGGAGGGCAGACAGGCTGAAAGCCGAGCCTCCAGCCGGGCCATGTGTGGGCCGCCAGGACCCTCGGGTCGGTGGAAAAACAGACACGGCCACTGGCGGCCCCAGAGGCAGGAACAGCCCTTTCAGGAAATGCCTCGCCTGCTGGTATTTGGGACCACAACCGTTTCAACGCTCTCCCCAGGGATCAGCCTCGCAGGACCTTATCCCAGGGAACACCTGAAGGAAGGAAAACGTCCTAGACACAATATTTGCTGCAGCCTTCCTCATAAGAAGAAAAATAAACAAATACAAAATCTCCAGCATCGGGTACCTAGACTGTTCGTTCTCTCAGTAGAAAGTTGTGTCTGTTAAAGCAATAAGACAATGACTGCAGTGACACCAGAAAGTGTGTAAGAAATGTCAAGTCACACACACACACACACACCTATAAACCCTGGTTTGTACTTGACCTGCAGGTATGAGAAGGTGCTAGGTGGGAACCAAGACTGAACTAGAGACTGGATAATGGACACGATTTAGCGACGGAGCACAGCGAATGACTCTGTGGAGTCACTAGATAAATGTCTTTAAATGGTTGGGTTTGTTTTTGTTTGTTGTTTTTAACGTATCCATTTATTTGGCTGTGTTGGGTCTTAGCTGCAGCATGTGAGGTCTAGTTCCCTGACCAGGGATGGAACCTGGTCCCCCTGCCTTGGGAGTGCAGAGTCTTAGCCACTGGACCACCAGGGAAATCCTTATGTTTCTAAATATTTTAACCCCAGGTTCCATGTATGTTGCTACGGCATCCTCTGTGCAAGTATATATATTTTTAGGACCACGTATCACGAGGACACATAGCCCAGGGCAGCCCTCCAAGGGAGAGACCTAGAGCCAGCTCAGGGGAACGGCTGAGACCTGGGCCTCTCTGAGCTCAATGTTCTGTGAAATGTGGGTCATCACTGTACCCCCACGTCGGAGACTGTGAGGCTTCAACAGAACGATTCACACAAAGCCTCAGCCCAGCAACAGCATGTTTTGGGCACTCAATAAATACCGTCCAGGGGCTTCCCTGGTGGTCCAGTGGTGAAGATTCTACTCCCAGTCCAAGGGGTGCAGCTTCAGTCCCTGGTCAGAGAACTAAAATTCCACCTGACAACATGGCGTAGTAGCCAAGGACACTTTTTTAAAAAAATACATATATATATATACACACACACCAGCCAGGGCGTGCCAGCAGTTGTAGTTAAATGTTTCATTCATCCAGTCCGGCTACAAAGCAAAGTACTTGGACTCAGACTCAGGGAGCCTGGTGCAAACCTCAGCCTGACCTCCAGCTGGGAGACTTGGGGCCAGATGTTTTATCTCCGCTCTGAGCCTGTTTCCTCATCCATCCAGCAGGAAACGGTAACTCCTTAAGAAAGGCCCCGCTGGCCCCTGTTGCTGTGGTGCAGAGCCTCCCGGCTAGTCCTCAAAGGTTACCCACTGAGCTACCATGTGACCAAGCAATTCCACTCCTAGGTGGGCACCCGACAGACCGAAGTTAGAGGGTGATGACGAACACT